ATAGCAGCTTGTGTGTTTGATTTGTTTCTTGTTTTGCTTGTTGATTTGTTTTTGAAACTAGCTTGCAGATCCTTTTCTTTGATCCTTTTCTGGTCTTTTGCAAGTGCATTGCAGGGTGCCCTACTCGTGGACTCGGCTCCCCCGTGGCCAGGTGCACTGAGCATTCCATGCATTATAAATTGGCAGTCAAAACAATTTTCCACACTGAAGGAGAACAGTCCTCATACTGCTTGCAGTGTTTTCATTTTCTCAATATGCAGTTTGCTGCAAGCGAATACAAAAAGATATTCTTGATTGCTTGAGAGTTGAATCGCAGCAAGTACCTGATTCAAACTGCAAAAAGCCATGATAGGGAACGTGATCGAATCAAGCAGCCGCAGCAGCCTAGAAGGAAAAGTGCAAGAATCATTGTCACACAAAGCTCATCGACATTTTTGTAAGACATGAACTGCGTGCGAGAGACGTTTTGAAACTCTGTTTCCCATGTGGCATTTGACTGCCGATGAAGCCTCTTCGCACTGGTCTCCTGGCAGAGGGAGGTACAGAAGATAGATACTCAGTAAACCCATATCTGCAAGTCAATGACCGTCCTTATGCCTGGACCTGTTTGTTGTTTCATTCTAGAGCCAAGAAAGCTAGGCGCTCCTCCAAATCCACAAATATTTGACATCCACTGACCGTGCAAGCACAACTATAGGCGTAAGAAACTAAATTTGCCACCTGTGGGTGTGACGACTGTATTCCACAGAGCATTCCAGCATAACACTGCTGCAATCACAACTGCAAGTCCGACATGGTTTGGTGGGGATAGCTCACAGTGGGATTTGGGAAGTGTTTTTTTCCCGAATGCGTAGCGAAGGGTTCCCGTTTATAGTTGGGGGTCTGGGGGTTGGAGCTGTGTTTGCATGGCTTGCGTCGTGTCGTCGTTTGTCGTCGTTTGTCGTCGTCTGTCGTCATCGTCGCGTCTCAAATTTGCTGCCATTGGGGGAAGCTTTTGCAAGTGACTTTTCATGGATGTGTCACGTGTCAGTTTGCGCCGCTATTCCATTGGGATTTGCATGACAAGGACATGTCGCGCAAGAAACGTGATGCATTTCACTGCACAGGCGCAGCGTTTTGTGAGATCTGCAGTTTGCTGCGCAGTTCCATTGGGATTAGCGTTTGGAGAGTCGTGTTTTTGGGGTGTTGGATGTGGCCGTGCCATTGGGATTTGCGTTTCAGGGTGTGGCAGCGAAGCTCGGTTTTCGTGACAAGTCTCAGCTGAAATGGCGATTTTGGTGGATGGCAGTGTGCTCAGAACGGGTCGAAATCATTCCAAGCGTGTCGTGTGGTGCAAATTTTGTTGAAGCTCACATGAGATGACATTGTCACTTTTCGTGGCAGGCGCAGGACTTTGTGCGGGTTTTGAGGCGTGGAAGTGCGATTCTCGTGGCAGGCGCAGGGAATCGTGAGGCTGCGAGGTGTGAGGGAGGTGACATTTCGTGGCAGGCGCAGTACTTTGTGCGCGTTAGACGTGTGGATGGGGAAAGATTCGTGGCGGGCGCAAGGAATCGTGAGGTTGTGAGTTGTGGTAGAGGTGAATGTCGCTGTCACATTGGGATTGGCATGTGAGCGGATGTTGTTTGGAGGGGCTGGAATCGCGAAACTGCTTGGCAGGGCTGCGTGATGCGTGTGCTCCGATGGGTGTTTCCGCTTGACTTTTGGAGGAAGTCTCGTACGAAACGCTCGTTTTGCAGACTTTGACGTGAGTTTTTGAGGAAGTCTCGTACGAAACGCTCGCTTTGGAGACTTGACGCGCAACCCTCTGCGGAGATCACGCGTGTCGAGTGTGCGAAATGCAGGCGAGAGCGCGATTTGTCCCATGCGCGGGCAACCCTCTGCGGAGATCGTGCACGTCGAGTGCGCGAAATGCAGGCGAGAGTGCGATTTGTCCCACGCGCGCAACCCTCTGCGGAGATCGTGCGTGTCGAGTGCGCGAAATGCAGGCGAGAGTGCGATTTGTCCGGTGCCCGCGCAACCCTCTGCGGAGATCCTGCGTGTCGAGCGCGCGAAGTGCAGGCGAGCACTGGCGACTTTGTAGTACGACTTTAGTACGCGGGGTATCTGGCGAGCTGGAAGATGAGAACTGGTGACTTGGTAGTACAACTTTAGTACGCGGAGCAATCTGTGGAGCTGGAAGCTGAGAACTGGCGACTTTGTAGTACAACTTTCGTACGCGGAGCAATCTGTGGAGCTGGAAGCTGAGAACTGGCGACTTTGTAGTAGAGTGTCCCACAAGAGTGTCCCACAAGAGTGTCCCACAAGACTGTCCCACAAGAGTATCCTACAAGAGTGTCCCACAAGAGTGTCCCACGACCCACAAGAGTGTCCCACAAGAGTGTCCTACAAGAGTGTCGTGTAAGAGTGTCCCACAAGAGTGTCCTGCAAGTGACCCACAAGAGTGTCCTACAAGAGTGTCCCACAAGAGTGTCCTACAAGACTGTCCCACAACAGTGTCCCACTAGAGTGTCCCACAAGAGTGTCCTACAAGTCCTACAAGAGTGTACCACAGAGTGTCCCACAAGAGTGTCCTACAAGAGTGCCCCACAAGAGTTTCCTACAAGAGTGACCCACAAGAGTGTCCCACAAGAGTGACCCACAAGAGTGTCCTACAAGAGTGTCCCACAGAGTGTCCCACAGAGTGTCCCACAAGAGTGTCCTACAAGAGTGTCCCACAAGAGTTTCCTACAAGAGTGACCCACAGGAGTGTCCTACAAGAGTGTCCCACAGTAGTGTCCCACAAGAGTGTCCTATAAGAGTGTCTCACAAGAGTGTCCCACAAGAGTGTCCCACAAGAGTTTCCTACAAGAGTGTCCTACAAGAGTGTCCCACAAGAGTGTCCTACAAGAGTGTCGTGTAAGAGTGTCCTCGTGTAAGAGTGTCCCACAAGAGTGTTCTACAAGAGTGTCTCACAAGAGTGTCCCACAAGAGTGTCCTACAAGAGTGTCCCACAAGAGTGTCCTACAAGAGTGTCCTATAAGAGTGTCCCACGAGAGTGTCGCACAAGAGTGTCCCACAAGAGTGTCCCACAAGAGTTTCCTACAAGAG